AATCAGCACATCTCCCTATCAATAGGTTTCGAATGTTTTTTGAACCATTCAAATCGCTTGATCCGTGCGCCCGAAAACGTGGACGAAGAATTGTATCCATACATACATACACACACACATCCATTTTTTTCTGAGGTATGCCAAAACGTTCAGAAACCTTTAAAACGTAAACATATGCAAAAATTTTCAATTTCGATTTTCGGCCCATTACAATAACTTACCCTACGGGAAGTTAAAAAGTATATTTTTTTCAAATGATAAAGATTTATAATACAACTGCTTATCTTATGCCTATAATATTTTAGTATGTTACATCAGACTATGAACTCTATTGTAGTACAAAATTATTAAATTTTGAAATTATAAGGTTCTAGAGCCTCCCCCTAATGGCTGTTTTCGTGGGGACAAGAGCCAAAATTTTTATAAAATAATTGAGGACTTTATGTTTGGCTCTAACAAATCGTTTTCAGTTAATTTGTACCAAATAGTAATTGCATACAAAGTCATATTTGATACAACAATCTATTGCAAATATTTTATTTAATTATTTGTGTTTACAAAAATATTAGAATTTCTGCAAAACAAAATGTTAATAAGAATCGTGAATTATTGTGTCATGGAATTTTAAAAAATGATGATTTTAGAAGAAATATTATATAAACATTATATAGCCACACAATATGAGTAATATAATTATTAAAGAGCAACAGATAGATTGAAGTTTTAGTCGGCATTATACCCAAGCAGTATTGAGTCTGACATACCCAGACAAATGACCTAGTTTGTTATGCAGAGACGCATTTTCTTCACCAATAAAAAAAAACACACACACAAATATGCTTCTTTCAAATTTGGTGTCATTCGATTCAGAATGACCTGAAACGTCGAAAAAACAGAATTAGCAAATAAGATATTTTTGCAAAAACAAACTTCTTCTGAAAGTTTAAAATAGGAAGTGGTTGAAATTGGTTTTTTAGTCAACTCATATTATTCTTCCAAGACAAATTTTAATGCTTACGATATATATAAATTTGTGAGACTCGAACATGCCGCCACGTTTTGGAAAAACAATGGGAAATTAATTTGCATGAATTTTCAACATTGCTTCATGTAGTTATGGTATTATGGTAAAGTTATAATAAAAATGTATAATAATGATTAAGATTAATTAGTTATAATAGTATGTAAAAATGCTTGATTTCTGCATTTATTTTTACATTTAAAAGTCTTGTGATTGTTTATGAATTCACTATTGATTATATTGTCTTTTGGTTATACTCACAAAATTGTTTTAAGGAGCTTATGAAAGAATAGTTCATTGTTCATCACCTTTTCTATTATTGTCTATTGATAACACGCGCAGTTTTATTATTACCAGTCTTAAGGAAAATAGTTTATACATCGGTTTAAAATTATATTAATAATAATCTATTTGAAAATTGATCAAATTAGGGGTAATCTTCCAGTACAATTTTCATTTTCAGAAAATATACAACATTTTTGACTATATATAACAACTATACAACATTATACATACTAATATAACATTTATTATAAAAACACAAATATATCTTCTAGTATCACATATCGAGTATCAAATATCTTCTAGAATCACATAACATAATTAAAATTAAGAATCATACTTCTCTTTGATACAAAATAATGAAAATAATTAAAGTTTTAAATAATTAATAATTGAAGTGTTAAATGAAAAATTATACTACCCTCAATGGTAAGAAATAATAGTAGTAAACATTTATACTTCAGACTCATTCGGATTCTGCATCGACACTTCAATACCAGAGTCTGAAACATCACCTGTAAGAAAAATAAAACTGCTTGAATGCAATTGAATAAAGAATGTTTTATATATTTATCCATATTACTCTTGTAACTTTATGGGAGTGGCATTTTGACTAAACTAAAGTTGCATGAATTCATTTTGAATGTGCAAATATTCGACATGATCAATATCTAATAATTTATGACTCATTAATGATTTTATAATTACTGTTAGTGCACCTTCAGGATCAAGAATGTTTTCATTAATTTTTTTATCTTTACACAATAACGTTTAACTCATAATAAAACATGATGTTGTAAGTTACCAAATGAGAAGTATGTTTAGACAAGAATTCATATCATTTTTTCACTTATATTACTCGATGTTACGTAACATCAACGTTGTTTTCACGTATTGACGTTCACTTATCATTAAAACATACCTAAACGTCTCCGTTTAGGTTCAGTGCCCAACGGTTTCTCTATAATTTCGGGCCTTCCAGGTGGTGTTCTCCTGGACAAAACTTCGCCAGCAGCTGCATCTTCTAGACCAAGAAGGAAATTATTATTATCTTTATCTTTACACTAATGTTACATATGTTACGTGGCGGTTACGTATTTATTACACAATAATTCAATTAATATAAAAATATCCTTATGTACTACTAAGGGGGCGTCCATTAATCACGTGAGGTTTCTAGGGGGAGGGGGGGGGGGTTTGACGAAAAATCAAGAAATATCACGTGGAGAGAGAGGGGTATTGTAAGATATCACGTGTATTTATTTTGTAACTTTCCGTAGGGTAAGTTATGGTAATGGGTCGAAAATCGAAATTGAAAATTTTTACATTTCTCGACGTTTTGAAGGTTTCTGAACATTTTGGCATACCTCAGAAAAAATGGATGTGTGTGTGTATATGTATGTATGTATGGATACAATTTTTCGTCCACGTTTTCGGGCGCACGGATCAACCGATTTGAATGGTTCAAAAAACATTCGATTCCTATTGTTAAGGAGATGTGCTGATTAGTTTTGGCAAAGGCAGGTCCAGCCGTTTCGAAGATACGGAGAGCAAAGAGTGCAGAAAATAGAAATCGAGTTTTTGAGAGAACGGAGCATCCGATTTGAATGTTCTAAAATACATTCAATTAGTAATGATTGGGAGAGAAGTGACATTAGTTTTTGGCAATGGCAGGCCCAGCCATTTCGAAGATACAGAGCTAAATGTACAAAAAATGGCTGTTTTTGAGAGAACTAAGCGTCCAATTTAAATGAATCAAAGAACTTTCAGCTTGTTTTAAAAAATATATTGATTTTGGAAAAAAAATTGTATTTTTTTCTGTATATAGAAAATAATTCAGATTTTATTGTCAATTCTGACTAAAGTTCTAATATACTTTAAACAAATAATTTCAACTTTGCAATTCAGTTTATATAATTCTCATAAATATTAGACAATGTTACAATACTTATAATAATCGATTTGAAAACATTCAGTATTCCTCGAACATTTCGTTACGGTACGGGAAGTTCCAGAAATTGCCTTAAGGCACGAGGCCATACACCACACTAGTTAACTTTTTTTTGAAAAAGTTACAAAAATGTTCAAAAAAAATTCAAATATGTTAGTTTTTCACGAAACTAAAAATACACGTGATGTTTGGTGGGAAAGAGGGGGGTAATTTTGATATCACCTGTATCACCAATGGGGAGGGGGGAGTCCAAAAACCTTAAAAAACTCGCTCACGTATTAATGGAAGCCCCCGCTGTCTAGTTGCTCTATATTTAGGGATCTCTGGGATGTTTCGAGGGCAAGGGGAGTTCACAAACAAAATTAAAATGTTTCGTAACATTTTGATGTTCAATTAATATTAAAACATACCTGAATATCTCAGCTTGATTCTCTTCCCGGCTGCTCTATGTAAATGACGACTGGAATGTTGTAGCAGGAATGGTTTCATCAGCTGCATCTTCTGGAATAAGAAAAAAACTTACTATTCTTTATCATTCACATATATAACAACTGAGGGGCGTCCATTAATCACGTGAGCGAGTTTTTAAGGATTTTTTAACCCCCTCCCTCCCCTTGGTGATCCATGGTGATATTCAAAATTAACCCCCTCCCCCCAAACATTACGTGTATTTTCAG